TAGTTGTTAAGAATAAATGCTGAAATACTCTTCACTAATATAATCCAGAAGAAAAATCTCTTACTTCATGACCTATGTCTGCTGCCCTGGAAGCAGCCACTACATAGTAGTGGGTGTCCAGTACAACAATTCATTCTCAAGAATAAGGCTCGGAAGATTGTTTCTAAATAGAGGACTGAATCAAGAGTGGATTTTTCCAGACTGTCAGTGCCGATAAAATGAGGTTTTCAATTACAATGCCTAGCACAGATCAGCCCGCCCAGGGAAACCTCTGTTCCAATGCTGCCAAGCAATATACGCTCAGCGCAGCATTTGTCAAAGAATTTCCTCTGCTAAGAGTTGATGTGTCAGTCTTTAAAATGGTTTGCTCTCATACCACCTTTCCTGATGGAAATGTGAAAAGTGCAACTTACTTCCTTTCACAAAACATCTTGTTGAGACTCTCGACTCCAAATTGACTGCCTCGTGGGGAAAACCTGCTTTCTAGAAACTTAACAAATGGTGACTGTTCTATCATAATTCTGCCTCACTGGAATAAGGAGGTCAAACAGGGAGACAACAATCACCAAATAAAGTGTTAAGAGGTGATTGATTGGTTCAGTGGCAGCTTAAAAATGCTAGAAGTCTGAATGCTATTCTAAGCACTCAGGACCGAGCAGATTATTTTGTTTTAGCTGAGATTATGCTATCAGGTGATGATGACTGCAATGGACTTTGTTGCAATAAAAGCAAAATTGTTACCCTTTCTGTTACAACAACAAACAGACAAAAAGCAAGTTTCACATGAACACTGATGGAAAGCACATGACTAATGCCAGAAATGCACCCAATGAGCACCTTTCTCAAAAAAATTTGCTGTAAATGCCAGCAATCAAACCCATCCACTGGTACCAATTGCATGTCCCTGCTTTACCTCATCTTAATCAAATCACCAATTATCCACACCTATCCTGACAAGCATCACAGGACTTCCGTTCTTCATATGAGCTTAATTCAGTGTTTTCTTTCATGTCTATCTGCGCTTGTCTAAGTACATTGTAGCCACTAAATCATACAATCCATCATCTCTTTGTCAGCACCCTAGACAGAGAAGATCCTCTGAGCATATGCTTACAACATAAAGGTCACTTTGAAAGTTGACTAAAGGCATGAATAAAAAATAAAACATTTAGTTAAGCCCTTTGAGGAGATGAGGTTGCCGTTACCCTTTGCTGTCTGAGCAAGTTCTTCAACTGCTTTTCAACGCTGTCACAACACCACACAGGGAGTTTGATGGCACCTTCTGAGTATATGTAGAAACAACGCCAAAATCCAGCTTACTAAACTTCCAGAAAGTTAGTACAGCAGTCAGAGATTAAGAATCATTATATACATGGCAAACTGACCTATTTCCAAACGATGCTGTCACAGGATGATATGTGCAGTGGGCGTGTTTTAGCCAACAAAAGCTAGCAAAGTGCCAAGAGCTGCTGAATTTCCTGTTAAGAATTAAGCGCCCCTCCACACACATTTTCTGCCACAATATATGGCCCATCATTTTGTCAGCACAAGTCTTCATTGAAAAATGAGGGCTGAAGAAATCACCTGGCATCATTTCTCATGAAAGGTAAGGAAATTAAAGGAAATGAAAGAAGCTAAAAAGTAAGAAGAGCTGATTTGAGGGTCCTACTAGCTGCTAACATGGTTCTGAAATAAAGTGCAATTTCAGTTTTATACTTGGTGCGTGAGTACCATGTTAAATAGGAGTGTGAAAATGTAAAAGTATGCGAGACAAATGACATTTTGTCTTTAGACATAGTCATCCCTCACCGGTGTCATCCCTACTTTCCAATTAATCACCAGAGCATGAATATCCTAAGACAAGGCTAAAAATGGGGTGTAATTTTTCATTAAATATGCTTGAAACTGCCAGTACATTCCACAAAGGAAAGAAGCAGTCTGAGATCTAGTTGGTAGATGCTTCACAAGCACAACCTCACAGGATCAGAGTGGAAATCTCCGATATTGACTGTAACATACAGTTACGGCTTGGGCCAGCCATCAGTTACTAAAACCTCCACGTTTTTAATGTGACTGCAAGCGAGTGCATTGCTAAGACTGAGTTACTACCTTCTGGCTAAGGTAACAGCAACCGAGTAAGTATGATCTTCCAGTCACTGAAAACACAAAATTAACTATATTAGCATAAGCCCACCAAGTGAAACATAACTCGCTAAGCCCCTGAAACATGACACTTAGGATTGTATTAGCATAATCTTTCTGTCTGAGCTGGTACAGACAATGTATAGACTCGTAAACAACGTAAAATCAATAATTCCAATCAGCCAGCAAAAGTAATGGGCATAGAGAGACAATTACCATCTCTGGAGCTCAAAATCCATCTCCCATATAGATGCATAGTTCCTGGTTTATGAAAGTACCTGAAAGTAACTTACTGATGCAATTGCCAGCTGCTAATGTATGTGAGCTGGTCTCTCTTTTCAGTGTTGCAAGTAAGGTTATCTTTAGACAGCCTCATTCTGTCCAATCATCCATTTAACTGTACTGCTGTGTTTCAGAGCAAAAGTTAAGCTGGCTGGGTCTATCAACCATTGCAAGTTAGTTTTTAAAATTTACTCTGGCTGAATGATCAAAAAAAAACCCAACCCCAAAACCAAAAGCTCAATTCTGCTTAGTTGGATATCTACGCAGAAAATTACTACATTCACATCAATCTGGGGATCTGTTTAATGAGAAAAAAGACACAGTACCTGGACATAGCTTCTGAAAGAAAAAGGAGGTTGGAGACGGTATACAGTCACTAGCAGGGAAAGATCGAAATTTCATCACAAAAAAGAAGCTTTCATTTCTTCTGTGTTCACAGCTTATTTGCTTTGGTGCACAATAATGCTACTGGACCTGTTACCTAGATTATGCCATTGCTTATGAGTTTTAACACCTAAAACCAAATGCAAACAGAAAAATGTCTGTAGCAAGTGGCATCCAAGTAATTCTTAGATCACATATTTAAAGGAAACTGGAAATAAGACAGACAATCTTTTTCGCTACGAAAATTCACAAACTCTCTTTACAGCACATGAAACAAGTTTAATCAAGAATCAAAATGAGGTGCATCTGGGATTCTAACATAAATACGTAGAAATATTAGTTTATAGTTTAAATATCAAATGGTTCTATGCTGCATATTTAAAAAATGGCATCTAACTATTAAGATCTGCATGCATTTGGTTTTCATCACTCACCTTTGAAAATAACGATACTTTAACTGAATAAGATTCTAAGATCAACATAGAAGCCACGAGTGAGCCATGGAAATTGTGTACACTGTTAACTATACAGCCTTCAAATATTTACTGTGAACAAAATCCAGATCAGCCCATTAGCCAATAAGCCAATAAGACACCTTAGCTAAGAGCAAGTCAGCAAACACCATGCGGCTAATTTAAAACAAAGAGCAATGGCTGAGGCAAGCGATGAATTAAAGAACTTTTTATATCAATTTTGATTGCATAATGGAAGTTGCCAGAGCAATTTAATATATCCAGAGTTATAAATTTATTTTTTTACTACAATACATAACAATGCCCCTCACCCCCCAAAAACTGAATATGGGTCAAGTTCTCAAAACCGCACTTCAGTCCTCGAAACTTTACTGTCCTCATGATACCCAGATCTTCCCTGGGAGAACTGCAGGAGGATTTCTAATCTATATTGCTCCGTAATACAAAATATAAAACTGGCAATGAAAAAAATTACAAAACGGCATCAAGAAATCTAGATGAAGCTACACGATGGACTGTGGGGAATGGATGGTCTGAGGAGG